GTTTTTTTTTTGGTTCTATAAACAAGCCTGGTTAAAGTGCTAAGAAACTGCAGTAAGTTTTCTAGGGCTGCCCTAACAAATTACAACAAATGGGTGGTTCAAAACAAAAGACAATGGCAAAATCTCTCGTAGTTCTGGACACTGAAAGTTACAGATCCAGGGGTCAGGCAAGGCCATACCCCATATGGAGGCTTCAGAAGAGAATCTGTTCCTTGCCTTTCCAGCTCCTGGGGTCTCCAGGTGTTTGTTGGCTAGTGGTATGGCGCTGGATCACATGGCCTTCTCCTCTTAGTGTGTCAAAAACCCCCTCTGCCTTACACTTCTACCCTCCTGCAGGGATATTTGTGATTGGATTTAGGGCTCACTCAGATAATCCAGGATAAGCCCTTCTTCTCAAAATCCTTCACTTAATCCCATCTTTTGCCATTTTAGGTGGTGTTCCCAGGTCCCAGGGATTAGGGTGGATACATATCTTCTGAGTGGTCACCATTCAGCTTACTACAGAAACCAAACTATCAGGATTCTTATTGGGAAGTGTATGTGTTTTGATATTGGAAAGGGCCTTCTTCAAAATACATAAAACCTCCAGCCAGGGAGTGTGAGAAAGAGTTGCAAGCACCCTTCATTAAGGTAGATAGAAAGTTGGGAAGAGATTGTGCTGGAAATCCTGTCCAGGTGTGGCTGTGGCGCTTTCTGCAGGTTTATCATGACAATGCATGTAAATGTTGAATTGATACCCCATAAATGCTGCTGCTTTTTAAAACAAGACTTCCGCCCTGTTACAACCAAGCTGTGTGTCTTAAATTAGTTGAAGCCTATGGGCTATAAATGTAAAAGTATGATACAGCTTGGTTTTAATACAGCATGTATAAATTTAGGTGTAAATGCTATGTTTAAAATACAAGATGTGGTTGACTTTTAGCAGTCTATCTTAAAAGGACTGGTGGCAGAGAGAGCACCTTTGTTCTGGGCATTTAGCCCCATAAAAGCAACGACTATCTGGCTGTATTTTTAGAACAGCCTGAGAATATGTTCCTTATCTAGACTCTCACTGCTTCAACTACCGAGTCAGTGAGGAGAGTGTTCAGATCCTTTGTCAAGACCAGCTGGACAAGAACCTCAAGGCTGCAGGAACAGTTCTACTTTTCCATCAGTGGGCATGGTGTCCTGCTGTGGTAACATGGAAAACTATGACTTTTTATACTCTTGAGCTAGGAATGTTCTTCTTTTGTTTTAGGCCTAGTAGGTGGCAGTAAAGCTTGTTTTTTTTTTTTTTTTTTTTTTTTTTTTTAAATTTCTACCTTGTGAATTTGTGTCCTTACTAAGGCCCATTTCTGTGGCAGAAAAAGAATCCCTTTTCAGTTCCTCTTTTGGAACTAGAAAATAAATATTTAATTAGGCCAGCACATCATGCAATTGTATGAACTTGACTTGAGAATGTTAATGGGAACCTATAAAAAAGGATCTGCTTTCAGGAAGTATTCAGAAGCCTCTGATTTTTAAGCGGTATCTGAAACCTGGTATAGTACTAGAATACAAAATCCAAGAATTAGAGTCCTTGTCTTTTTTATTTTTTTGTCCATCACTATGTCTCCAGGACCCAGAAGAAATAAGTAAATGTACTCTAAACATCTTCTCAGGAAGTCCATTCATATTATAAACAACAATAAAAAATCAGGAGTCTTAAAGTTTGAGATCCAGTAAGCCCCACGTGACAGTACAATTGTTGACTTGATTGAACTGAAATCAACTCAAAATTGTTAACCAAAATTTGTGACAAATAATAATATTTTTTATTTTATTAAGAGTGTAAATTTTGACTTTTCAATTTTACTCCTGTGTGAAAGACTACTGCACTGTCTTGGTGTAATGTATTATGTGTCAGGAAGACATAACAGATTGATTTTTAAAAGAACTTTTTGGCAACCGGAAGTCTTGCTGGAGACCACATAAAATATTCTAAATTTCCCAAGATTTGTTTAACCAAAAAGATAGAAGATTTATGTGATGGTGTTTTGTGTCTTTTGACTGAGCATGACAGCATTAGTGGCTGACAGGAAATTATTCTTAGAAATGAAAATTTGATGTTTGTTTCTTTTAGTTTCGTATTTCTTGAATAAGTGTTTTCAGTACTTTGCTTAGATAAAGAGTAGTGCTGTCCCATTTTTCTTTCAAAATTTTTAGACGAATTTATTTTGTCTTTTGTGTAACTATTAAGCTATTGCTTAGTTTTTAGCCTGATAGACTTAGAGCATCTTATACTAGTATGAATCTGTTGTTTTATAGGAGCATTTGAAATCTAAATATGATATTACTAATTAGAGGTTTAATGTTTAATGATTTTAGATTTTATATAGGAATCCATAAGTAAAAAAATACAATAAGTAAATAATAAGTGCAATCAAGAAAGGAACTTGCTTCATCTTTGTAATGGGAACTGTGAGTGTAGCATTCTTTTTTTTTTTCTTTAAGATATTATTTATTTATTCATGAGAGACATACACAGAGAGAGGCAGAGACACTGGCAGAGGGAGAAGCAGAAGCAGGCTCCACACAGGGAGCCCGATGTGGGATTCAATCCCGGGGCTCCAAGATCACACCCTGGGCCAAAGGCAGGCACTAAACTGCTAAGCCACCCAGGGATCCCCTGAGTATAGATAGCATTCTTATTTTGCAAATTTGGCATGTGTTTATTAATACCAAGGCCATGTTTTTTCAGTAAAGCAAAATGAGGGAGGGAAGTTAAGGTTTCTTTTTCTTTCCCTTTGGGAGGGAAGTTAGGGTTTCTTTTTCTTTCCCTTTAAGTGCCTTTTATGTGCTGGGATGGTATTTGTATACATCTCTTTCATTTATTCATTCATTTGGTAGATTATTATTCAGCACCTATCACGTGGTGAGCACTGGAGTGGGTGCTTGGAATACATCACTGCAAGGAGAAAGAAGTCACAGTACTTAGGACCAATGGTGAAAATCAAGTTCTGAAGAAAAAATAGAATATATCTGCCATTGTGAGCTTGATGGCTTCCCAGTGCCTACTTTTCTGATGATACTTCACTAATAAAATGTGTCAATACTTGAAAGATTAGTATATCTCAGTGGACCAGTGTCTCCTAAATAGCCAAAGTGTGGTGTTGCAGAACCCTGCATAGTATAAAAGATTCACTCAGTGTGTAATATAGACCAGTGGATTTTCACTTAACGGGGTACAACAGTTTCCTTGACATGGTTTCAAATTCTACGCTGCAGTTAGCCTTTCAGAAAACTTCAAAGAAAACCATAACTATCTGAATACTCCTGCCCTTCCTGGCTACATACCTGTTGAACCAGATTGCTTTCTGTATTTTAAACTGAAACAACATACCACAGTAGATTGAATACAGAAGCAGGTATGAGAACCTGGCTATCTTCTGTGAAGCCAAACATCAAAGAGTTTTTTTAAGTGGAAAGAAGTTATGCTCTTTCACTGATTTTTTTTGTTTTAGAAAATGTAACTATTTTCATAAAAATGTATGAGTTACATTACACATAATGAGTTTATTATTTTTAAAGGAAGTAATAAAAGAATTTAAATTTTCATTTTGGTTCCTGATACAGTAAACCTAGATGTAGTCTACCTACATAGACTGTTGGAGTTGTCAGAGTTAAAGCTGTAAAGAGGTGTGAGGTGTAAGGAGCTTGAGAACTGCTGATCTACATCTGAAATATATGTTAGGGTGAGATTATGAAGGAGCTTACGTTTGATGCTAAGAGACTAGTGCTAAACAAGAAGGAGTCAGAAATTTTTGAGCAGAAAAGTGATATAAATCAAAGTGGTACACACATCAGGATTAATCTGGAGGGGGATAAATGCGTGAGGATGAAAGGGGGGTGAGCAGGACTGGGCACAGCACAGCAGCAGAAGGGTGAGGTGTGAGAGCCCCCTTTAGGTTGGCCTGGATGAGAGACTTGCCAAGGCAGCGCTGACCTAGCCTCAGCACAGGGAATAGCCCTGTGTTGTTAGCTAAAGCTTGCGTAGCTGTGGTCCAGGGAAGAAGCTGACCTGTAGGGAAAGTGGAGCTCTGTTCAGTTTTTTGTGGGACTGTGATTCAGCATTTTGAGATTGAAGAACCAAGTAGAAATATCCAGGAGAGAACTGACAATTTTGAGACCAGCTGGCCTTCTGTGTCTTTTGGTGTCACAGAGTACCTCTGTTTCTTAAAATTAAGATGAGTCCCTCCTTAGGCAAGCATTTTGGGATCTGGTTGCTATAAAGGTCTATTTTGGTAGTTAGGTGATAGTTTATATCAAAATTTGATACATATGCATTTATTGATTATTATGTGCTTGGCATTGTACCATGTGTTCTTACAGTTATTACGGTTTGTGTGAGCATGTGTGTGGTTTTTAAGCTCCGGTAACTCATGGTCTTTCAGTCCTTCATTTCCTTGACTTATTTACAGCATTGCACAGAAAGTAATTTCTCTATTCAGAACAATAAAATGTTGTTTAAACAAGTTCTGATCAAGATTTAACAATGAAAACAGACTTTTCCCCCTTTCTTCTTAAAAAATGACACAATTAGTCAGTTAGTACATGGAAAACAAACATCTATTTCATGTTCCTCCTTATGATAAGTGTTTTTCATCAAAATTCCTTGATACTGTGTGTGGGTGATTTACCAACGCTTTTTAAAATGGTTGAAATATGCTCTAACAACCATCTGATAAAATGAAAAACTGAATAAAATGTGTACTCAGATGAATGATTCTCTGAAGAAATAATAGTGCAAATGAATTATCAAAGTGTGAAATCATTAAAAACAAAACATGTTTGAGTTTTTATTGAATCTTAATTGCAGGCTTATGTATTTTCTTTTGTAAGCTAAGTTAAAAGAAAATTGCCTAACTAAATTTTTGGAGGCCAGTGTTGTAGGACATATATTGTACCATAATTTATTTTTCACATAAAAGCTGCTGTTCATTTTTTTCCCCAGCATTAACATGCATGCTTTCCTCATGTAGGAGAATATATAAAAAACTGGAGGCCAAGATATTTCCTTTTGAAGACAGATGGCTCATTCATAGGATATAAAGAGAAACCTCAAGATGTGGATTTACCTTATCCCCTCAACAACTTTTCAGTGGCAAGTAAGTTCATTATGATTATTGATTCACCTTGTATTTATTTATCTGTATGACCTCATGTATCAGATATACTGCATTACAGGAGAAGCCTATGCAGAAGTTTAGGTTTGTATTTAAGTGCTGGGAAATTTTCAGCTTTGATAGAATTTCAGTTTCTTAGTATAGGGGTTATTGATAGTATATGGTCTAATATAATTCAATATTGTTGAATATAGAACCTAAATGTGATAAATACAATTCACCAAATATGTACCTCAAGTTTTTCTTTATAAAATATAAATAGAGACCTTTGAACTCGGTTGCTAAGTGACATTGGTTGTAAGGTGTTGCAGTACCTGGTACATTTTTAATCAGTTTCCTGTCATGACCTTAGCTCTTTTTGTTGATCATATGATGAAAAACAAGTGATCTACTTTAGAAATTATTTGCTGGGGAGATTTTATGTTTGAAGTTCAATTTTTCTTCCTTACAAATACTTCAGAAAAATGTTTGTAATGAAAATTGATTTAATTATATATTTTCATGAACATAGCACAAAATAAATGGAAAGATTCTGCTGCTGGTGACACTGGCAAGGTATCATTGCTGTGTTATAACCAGGCTCTTAAGGCTGATGGTATTACTGATAAATCAATGGAAGAGTTTTTCTACATCAATTCAGAAATATATTTGAAAACTCATGTTAGGTTAAGATAAACTTGCATAAGAGCTAAAGTCTGTACCCTTGAGATAAAATCTTTAGCCAGACACCATTCTTAATTTTGATTTTGGTTGTATGTTGTTTTGTGTTAGTTTCATTTGAAAAAGATAGGAGGTAAAGATTGAAGCAAAATAAATAAAATGAAAAATAGCATCAAATAGCAACAAAAAACCCAAGATAACAAAAGTCCTTGAATGTTATAAAAGTCATTTTAAAATTGGATAGAGCCCCAGCCCGTTTTATGGATACTATTTTTTAATTTTTTAAAATAAGGTAAAGCCATAAACCAAAGGGTTTGTGAAATCAGTTGAGTGGCAAGAATACTAACTTAAAAAAAAAAATAAACCCAGACACCTCTCCATTTCTATAAATGGATTCTTATGTAGGGATTTCATTTTTTAAGAAGTGACAACTCTGTTAATCTGTATGTATTAGTTAAGGAAACCATTTTTCCCCTAACTAGAATGCTTGTTAGGTATTTATGGCTTTCTTTTAGTAGAGAATGATTTTTAAAATCCTGTTGTCAATTGAAAATAATATCTTGTATTTTGTATTGACTTAAGAGTATGTTTTCATTCTATAGATCTTTTGGGTAAGCATTTGCTTTAAAGTGATAGAAATTGGCTTTTAAAACACTAACTGCACATATTATCTCCTACATGAAACAAGTCCAGTTTCTTAGTTTCTCTATTTTACTAGCAAATTGTATTGGTTTGCCTGCAATAATTTATAAAAGTACAGAACTCCTGTATCTGCTGATCAAAATGCAGCATTTTTTGACCTTATGAAATTTCACACCCCAACAAGTTTTAAAGACATACTGTATGTCACAGTCTGCCAACATCTGCTCCAACACTTCCACTGGCAGAGGCGACGATAAATGCTGCACTCTTGGGGAGAGATCCTGTTTAGTGACTGACTGTCAGCCTACCCACAAAATAAATATTAGTCGACATCTGGAATCTTCACTGGTAAAACCAAGTAGTCGTAGGTGATTGACTCCAGCAAACAAGTGAGGTTGTGGAGCAGCTCCTTCATTTTTAGCAGGGCGTTAACATGTGTCTTACACCAGATAAACTGGGTAAAACTGATGGTTCTTAAAATTGGACTTCCTGCCATCTTAAACTGCCATGCAGAACAACAAGCAACGAGATGGACGTTGGCTGGCAAAGAGGTACCAGGGTCAGCTTTGCCACGGGAACGAGTGTGACCTGGGATGGGTGATTCTCTGGAGCTCTGGGCGTGATAGGAACACTTGTCTCCTCCCTGCTGTGGTTCTGCTAGGGGTGGTTTGAGTAGCCCTTGAAAGAGGGACTAGGAATTCAGTCACGTAGGGGAGAGCGGTATTTTGGGCCAAGGGGGACAAAGACTGTTTTTATGAGACATTAAGAGAGGGAACAGTTGGATGAAGGGAGTGTTTACTTGGCCAATGGTTTCCCTCTGGCCCTGGCCCCCTTGAGCATGTGAGAAAAGAGACAATTTTACCAGGTATTTCTAAAGTGTGTTGGGAGACATATTCGTGTACATTTTGCTTATAGCTATATGAGTCCTCTATTTTTCCTGTAATTAAAAATGTTACTTAATTTTAATTTAAATTTAAGACGTGGGTTTTCTTGGAATTTTACCAAAATAGGCTTCTAATCCATCTGAAAAAGTGAAGTATGAGAACTAGCAGGGACTTAGAATCCCTCTTCCCAATCTTCACTAAATTCCACATTCCTTCCTTTCTGATTTAAAATTCCCCCAGAGATGGCATATGCTCATTGTTTCTTTCTTAATCCACCACCACCTAGCTTTCTCTCTCTGTCACATGATTGAAACCAATCTCAGTAGGTTCTCCAGCGACCACTTACCTGCTCAGCCAAGCAGAAATCCTGCCATCCTACTTTTCTTGGATTGACACCTTAGACTGCAATTCGTACCTTTGTTCACCCTTCTCTCTTGGCATAACCTCTCCTGTTGTGTCCTGGGAGGCTGTCTTCCTGGTTTTCCTTTGCCTGTTGCTTGCATCATGGTATCTCACTGGTTCCGGTCAAGTATACTTCTCATTTTGTTCCTGCTCCCTGGGTGATCACCTTCACTTAAAAGGTTTCTTTTACGTACTGGATATATCTTATTCCCACAATACATATCTTTGGGGCAGGCCTCTCTCCTGAGCGACAGGTTGTTGTATTCAAGCAATTGTTGAACATCTCTCCCCACGTATTTCTGGGACTTAGCCTGTCCTAAGCTGGATTCAAGATAATCTTGTCAATTATACCCCCTCCAGAAACCTGGGTCCATTCCATGCCTTCCCTCCCACCTTTCACATCTTCACCCCATTCCCAATTCATTTGTTTCTACCGATTTTGCAGCTTATTGTTTGAACTTCTGTCCATCCTTTCCTATAATCACCCTAGAACATGTGCTCACCATCTCTACTCTAGGTTCTTTTTTTTTTTTTAAGATTTTATTTATTTATTCATGCAAGAGAGAGAGAGGCAGAGACAGAGGCAGAGGGAGAAGCAGGCTCCCTACAGGGAGCCCTGTGTGGGACTCAATATTGGAACCCCAGGATCACACACTGAGCCAAAGGCAGATGCTCGACCACTGAGCCACCCAGGCGTCCCTCTACTCTAGGTTCTTAACTAGGCATTCTGCCTCTAGATTTGACCACTTACATTCTTCCTTTTCATGATTTCTCATGACAGTGACCCTTCCACAGGTAAGTGCTGACTATGCCATTCTACTGTGAGAGCCCTGCCCTAGATCCTCATTGCCTGCTGGACAAAATCCAGCTTCCTTAATATATCCTGTGGGCATGTCCTCAGTCTGACCTCTGCTTTGGACCCTTGCTTTCTGTGTCTCCTGCTGGCGGCCAGTCACACTTCAACAGCACTGAAGCATGTGTGTGATTCCCTGTGCTAACTAACTCCACGGCTCTTCTGCTCTGAGAATTTGTTTATGCTCTTCCCTCTGACTGGACTGGCCTTCTCTCCTCTATTTGTGTGGATAATTTTTTTTTTTTATCCTGTAAGCTTTAATTCAACCTAACAAATGCACCACTGGGTATTTACCCCAAAGATACTGATGTAGTGAAATGCTGGGATACCTGTACCCCAATATTCATAGCAGCAATGTCCACAATAGCCAAACTGTGAAAGGAATCATGGTGTCCTTTGGCAGAAGAATGGATAAAGAAGGTGTGGTATATATGTATGTATATATATGTATGTGTGTGTATACATACATATATACACACACACACATATATTTACACACACACTATGGAATATTACTCAGCCATTAGAAATGACAAATACCCACCATTTGCTTCGACATGGATGGAACTGGAGGGTATTAATGTTGAGTGAAATAATATAGTCAGAGAAGGACAATCATCATATGGTTTCACTCATCTGTGGAATATAAGAAATAGTGAAAGGGATTATAAGGGAAAGGAGGGGAACTGAGTGTGAAAAATTAGAGGGAGACTAACCATGAGAGACTCCTAATTCTGGGAAACAAAGGGTTGCAGAAGGGGGAATGGAGTAATTGGGTGATGGGCACTAAGGAGGGTACTTAATGGAATGAGCACTGGGTGTTATGCTATATGTAGGCAAATTGAATTTAAATTAAAAAGAAAAACGATTTAGGGGCAGTTGGTTAAGTGTCTGCCTTTGACTCAGGCCATGATCCTGGGGTCCTGGCATGGAGCCCCATGTTGGGGCTCCCTGCTCAGTGGGGAGTCTGCTTCTCTTCCTTCTGCCCCCCACTCCTCGCTCATGTTCTATTTCATATTAATAAATAAAATCTTTTTTAAAAAGATGTAATTTAGACTTAAATTCACAGCCTCATTCCTTGCTGAATTAGTCTTCCCTGCTCTTCACAAAACTGTTCTCTTTTGTTGTTATTGCATTGTTTTGGTGTTATGTGTTCATATGTTATGTCTCATCTACTTATCTGAGTTATTTTAGGATAAAGAGCCTAGCGTTAAATAATATACCTCCTTATATCTCCTAGGGCTTATATATTAGGGCCTAATAACCATTTTTGAATGACTGTCTGAAAACAACTAATCCGGATTTTTCCTGTTTTAGATGAGAAGAAAGAGGCTTTTAGAAATTGAGTAATCTGTTTTAGGTTGTTGAACTAAGGTAGTGGTAGCCAAGTATCAAGGTTAGAACTCAGATTTCTCCCCCCTCATTTACATTTTATTTCCCTCCCCCACCCCCTTGTACCATTTTCTCTAGGTTAAGAGCCTTGAGATCTGATTTGGGGTTAGAGTTCCAATATTTCAAATTGCTAGGTGTCCTTTGGCATG